ATATATACACACACATCCTGCATGTGTGCACACACACGCACATATATACTTGAACCAAATATAGACTGCTTTGTCCATCCCTAGTACTTAAGCTTTTAGTCTTATAGTTTAACTGAAATGAACACTTTACCACTGAAAAGCATGACATTATGGAATCAACTTAAGTGGCCAAGAATAAACTTAAGTGGCCAAAAACATTTATTTGGTGGTATAATAATGATTGAAACAGGGCCTTAAATTGCTTGGCTTTTATTGGCAATGACACTGTAAATCATCTTGTCATGTATCAGCCTGCAGAACTATTTGGTAATATTTATGATATTAACATTGTCTTTTAGGTAAATCTAGAAAAATGTTCAGGTTCTTTCCAGCTCTACTACTTGAAAGCCAGATTTACTTGTTAGCGGGTGAGTACTTTTACTTGGATATATTTCAGTAAAATCCAGGCTTGTATGTTTCACTTGGGATTGGCCAGTCCTAATCTGGCGTGCAGGGGAACCCAAGCTAGCTGCTGGTGGAATGCAATCCAGCTCTTGGAATCTTGGAAGTTCTTGAAAACCCAAAGGCAGGGTTTAGTTTCCAAGCCTTGTCCCCTGAGGGAATTCCCTCGAAAGGCATCCCTGCTGGGACCTCGGATCTCAGATGAGGGAGCACAGTGGGGATGCTGGGCCTGCCATGCTGGAGACCGTGGCCACCCTTCCCCACATGGGCAAGTCTCAGTGCAAGTAAGAACATTTCCAAAAGGATTCCAAAGAGATTCCAGTAATCTGCATAGGGACAGTGTCACTTTGCCCTACAGTGATATAATTTAGCTTGCTTGTTTTAGTAATATTTCATAAACAAAGCTAAAAAACAGAAGATCCCATATTATTTTTCTCTCAATACCTAAAACATTAGAAGAAAGGAATGAAAGCACACTTAATCTGATTTAAAAGTTACGCTATGTAGAATTTTGCTTGGCATACTTGTAAGAATTCAAAGACAATAGCATGTACTTCCCTTATATGGTTTACATTTTTAGGGGAAAACAACAAAGGCACTGAAAGCTAAGGATGCAATCCTATGCAAATTTTGAGGGAAAGAAACAAGACCTACATGCTGGCTCGGTTATGCTGGGAGTCATGGGCCTTTTCTCAAGGTTATATATGTATTGCCTCACCTACTTCTTAGGGATACTCACCAGAAAATCAGTTACAGCTTGGAGACTTTCAAGCTTGCCTAATACTATATTTGCAACTGGCATCCATTCATACTTGCTAGTGAACTTACGAAACAGGAAAAATTCCATGGCTTACGCTAGTACATGGAAGAAGACAACAAAGGCAAGGCCTGCCATTCACGTGCCATTCCCACTCCACCTGCACCCTTTGACTTGTGGCCCTCCTGCAACTCACCAAGCACTTGCTTGATGGATTCTTGTGCTTTGTTTTTGTGCCTCAGCTTTATTCACCGTGGAAGTTCTTCAGCCGCATTACCGTGCAGAGTTTGGGAGTGAAGCGATAATGGGATGTCGCTTTCCGGTAACTGAGCCCTTAAATTTGACACGATTAAGCATCTTATGGCAAACAAGAGAGTTGCCAGGAGATCTATCCCGAGAAGTTTACAGGTTCACCAAGGGTCAGGAAGACCTCACTCGACAACACAGTGATTTTCGCAGGAGGGCGACAGTCAAGCAGAAGGAATTAAGGATAGGACGCTCCGTGCTACATCTCAACAATGTAAAGCTTACAGATGCAGGAACCTACATTTGTCTTGTTGAGTATGAAGGAGCAGACTACAAATTTGTTCTTCTGGAAGTTGAAGGTTAGTAGTCATAATGCTCCCAAGTCCCCGACCGGTGGAAATGTCAGAGAAGACTTGGTAGCATCCATTTACTCCAGGGGGTGGGTGGCTTGGGATTGGGCCCCAACTAACCATCCCAGTCTCCCCATATGATTTGAGTTGCATGAGAAGGAGCAGGGATTGGTGCACAAGCCCCCCTCTCCACGGCTCTTCCTAGTGGTCCCCTTGGCCTTCCAGAAGGCTGAGGCCAAATGTATGTAGCACGAAGCCTGTTCTGCCTATGCTGCTGCCCTCACCAGGGACAGTCCTGCCAGATCAGGTCCAGAAGGCTCTGTGGGGCCTCTCAGGGCACAGGGGCAAGCAACAGGGGGAGCAGGGTGGCCGCGTTCAAGCCCACCCTCCTCACACGAGCCCGGGCATGAAGGCAAGTGGAAGAGGCCACGAAGGGCCTGTGTCTTTGCCACAACTTGCTTTCTGGAAAATGCATGGATGAGCACTTCCCACAGCTGTCCAGGATGGAGCGGGCAAGCTTTGCGACCCCGAGAGCCCCAACAGAGCCAGGTGATGGGTTGCCCTCTCCCCACACCCACTCTCAGCCACTCCTCAGCGCCCAGCGATGCGGCGGTTCAAGCATCCCCTTCCAGCCTGCTGAGACTGGGGAATGTGGTCAGGCGGGGAGGGGCTTCATGCTTCCCATCCGGTGACCTTGCTTGCCATTTCACTAACAGAAAGAAAGCAGCAATCTCCCCAGCAAAACTGCTGGGAGGGGAGAGAGGTTTTAACGTCTCCTTGCTCCCAGAGAATGCTGCACTGAGTTCTCTCGGAGGGGTGGCTTAGATCCGTTCCCCCTTCTCCAACAAACCTGAGCTATATCCTGCTAATAGCAGCAGTGAAACAGTGATCTCTGCAAGCAGATTGCTTGGAGGGAAGGCAGCCTTTAACCACAGCCCTAACACAGGTCATCCTTTCCCCACTGCTTTGTGCAGCAGAAAAAGACCCAGTCTTTCGAGCAGCAGGGAAGATGGGTGGGACACCCCAGCTCCTGAAGCTGCAGCAGAGGGGCCGAGGCCTGCTTGCCGCCCACGGGCTGCAGCTCTCCTGCGTGTCCTGACTCGTGCCTGTGCGCGATTCTGCCCGTGTAGCCTCATGCCGTGTGCGCCTCCGGGTCCGCGTTGCCTGGCTTTGCCCCCGGTCTCAGCACATGGCACAGAGGATGCTGTGTGCCTGTGGCAAAGGAGGCCTTGCAGGACCCAGGATCCGGCTCCCCCGGAAGACCCTAATTCAGGTCTAATTGGGTGCCCTCCAGATATACCTCCCAGACCCCCTGGCCACGGGCTATGCTGGCTGGGGCTGATGGAAGCTGTAGTCTCAAACATCTGGAGGGCAGGAGGTTACCTACACCTATGTTTTTATTTAAATAAAAAATTTCAACCTAAAAAAAAAAAAAAAAATTTCAACCTAATGCAAAAGCAGCTTGGGGGGGGGGGGTGGGGGGGGGGGGGAGCTTCTTTCAGATCTTAAAGGGCCAGAGCCAGAAAGAGGCACATTTAATACCTTTTTGTTTAGTTTGGCCCAATACCAGCATATGGTCTCCTTATTACTAAATATGGTTGCATGATATCCTAACTTGCAATGACCTCAAGATGACTTATATGTTCCTAAATCCTCCTCCTGGTTTTATCCTTACAGCAACCTTGCAAGGTAGGTTAGGCTAAGAATCTGACTGGTCAAAAATCATCCAGTGGGTTTCATGGCAGGGTACAGATTTGAACCCATGTCTCCTGAGTCCCAGTCCAACGCTCTAACCACTACATTGCCATGCATTTAACAGACTGATTGTGTAAACCAGCCCCAAGGAAAAGAAAATGGAATAGTTCCAAAATCTTAGTGTAATTAACGTACTCCACTCTCTCTCCGTAGCACCCTACAAAAGAATACAGTTTCAAGAAAGAAGAGAGGAAGGGGACGTGATCTTGACTTGTCAGGCAGAAGGCTATCCCCTGGCTGAAGTGTTTTGGTACAATGAGGATACTAATTTCAGCACATCTGCAAACACTACATTTGCAATGACAAATGATGGACTTTTCAGTGTAACCAGTTTCTTGAGATTCAAAGGAAACATTCATGGGAATTACAGCTGTGTATTTTGGAACAAGAAACTGAATGAAGAAACATCAGTTTATAAGATTCTGCCAGGTAAAAATTTGTATGCAGCTTATCATTGATCTTTGCGGGTTTGATTTTGCAGAAGTTGTACATGTGGGGCTATTCAAATTCCATTCTTCCGCTGTATGTGGAATCTCCATAGTAATATACTAAAAGGAAGGGCTAATAGAGGTAAATCTTCTAGAAGGGATTTGCTAAACTAGTTTGCTATCATGGGACAAACCTTCCAAAGGCTAAATCAACAACAGGGTGTAATCAAACAATGAGGCTCCTGTGAGGAGAGTGAAAGGTCCATTGGGTTGGGATTAAAGCGGCAAAAAGACCTGAATGCATTGCGCCTTGGGCAGCTGAGGAAATGGAGGAGCAGAATCTAATCTAGAGGATTTATTTATTTAAAATGTTTGTAGACCATTCCACGTCTCGGGACAGTTTAACAATACAAAATATTTTTTAAAAATTAAAACACAGTGTCCTAAAATTCAGCTAATAATAAAACCCCAATTAAAACAGTCAGGTCTTAAAACATTGGGAAAATAAAAAGGTTTTGGCTTGGCACCAAAAAGAATAAAGTGACGGTGCCAGGAGAACCTCTCGGGGGGGGGGGGGCGAAGTCCACAATTAGGGTGCTGCTGCACAGAAGGATCTTCTCTGGGTTGTCACCCTCCTAATCTCCTTCAGGGAGGGCACCGGGAGAAGGGTGTCTGCCTCAGATCTTAAGGGGCAGGCAGGAGACATATGGAAGGATGTTGTAGGAAATATACAATACTCTGCATTTGGGCTGGGGGAGTTCAAATGCAGAGAAGCTGAAAGAAAGGGGCACGACTGGCAGTAGATTATGACACATGAAGGCAATGGAAGAGAAACTGGACAAGGGAGAGAACTGGGGAAAATATGTATGGAGAAGGGGGTGGCAACTCTGCAGCCTGAGGCAGGCATGGTGTGGACACTGCTCTCCTTGCCTCTCTCTCTTAGGATACTAGGCCACATGGAGACAAAAGTGCAGTCCACTGTGTAGTTGGCAAGGCTGGGGGTGCTGCTCATAACCCGGATCCATTCCCCGCAGTGGCCTTTAGTCTCTGGGTGTGATGGTCTTTCAGGGTCCCTGCTTCAGGGATTCATCTTAGTTCCCCGACCAGAAAATACGGATATTATCAGGAACTCATTTTCAAGTTCCCTCAACTCTTTGGCAACATCTGCTACTTTCTTGAAAATGCAGTAAGCTAGCTTTGCTAAATTTGGGGGGAAATCAGGGAGCTTTGGTTAGGTGTGACATAGAAATGCAATAAATAAGAATACATTTCCTGATTTTTATGCTGGCCCTGCTGCAACATTCCACAAACTCTATTCTCCTTCAGTTCATTAGCCATGCAACTGATACCCTGGGTTACCATTATGGGTGAACTCAGCTTGTCATTTGGAATCCAGAATTCTGGAAGAATGACAGCTATTAATTAAAATAGCCAGCCCTGTACGTGGGTCTTGGTGGCTAGCCACTGCAAGCTGCTAACACAGAGAGACTTGCCTAGTTGCTCAGCTTCAGCTTCATTTTTCTCTCGGGTTCTCAGCAGCAGTTCTGGAGAGATTGAGGTTAAGGCAGGAAGTTGTGCTTGAGTGATACTGTGCCACGTGGAAATCATGTTGTTTCCACTGGGGCGGGGGCATGGTCTGTCGTGTGCATGTAAGTTGCTTTGAGAACCTCCGGGGTTATACGGGGTGATGGTTTCTTTTTTATGACCAGTTCTAAAAATGACTATAATAGGGATGTCTCCTATCCATCTCTGATCAAACAGGTTCACCAGGTTTTTGAAGGGCTACAAAATCAAGGCAAACCTACTGGGCTAGAGGCAATGTCCAGTGGAAATATGAGCCTAGTCCACTTTCAGGACTCTGACAAAGCTAGCAACTGTTCTTGGCCTTGGTCAGCCCAGAATCTGCTTTCCCTGACATGGTGCATCAACCAGAGTTGATTTATAGTAGAAGAGGGATGGCAGTAGATTGAACTATGGCTGGCAGATTTCCTGGTGATCTGGGGCAAAGGGTTTACTCCCCATTATTGAACAATAACACCCCCTGAAAAATAAAACCCGCTTTGCTGATCACCACCAAATGAGAGTTCTGAGGGAAAAAGAGCTTTCTCTGTGTGCCCATGTTTGTGTGTGTGTGGCAAGGCTGGGGCCGGGGTAATCAGGTGTGGACTTCTGTGTGGAGGGACCGTAAGTGCTATCAATTCTGGTACTCAGACCAAGTGACTGGGCTCAGAATTCTGTAACTTGAAGGCTGCAGCCCAGTGCACACTTATCTGGGAATAATTTCCACTGAATTCAGGGGGGCTTTCTCCTGGATAGACACGCATAGGACTGCAGCGCGTGCATCTCTTTCGACCAGGCTCTGGTTGGTGGATCTTGGGGTTCTAGGGCAATGCTTAATAAATGTTTGATGCAGGTGGATCACTGAAAAGGTGTCATATGTCAATTTCTATTGGTCCTTTGAATTCTCCTTTGAAACCTGCTCCTGTAAATTCTTTCAGCTCCTCCCATTTGCCTCCCAACCAGTTCTAGAATTTTTCCTTTGCCTAAAGGTGCATAGAATTGCTCCCTTAAAGGGTATGGAATGCCTTTCTACATTTACAGCAGTAAACTCTCATGACAACTGCTGTTAATGGGAACTTTGACTCCTTATGCAGTTGGGCCATGAAAATGTACTTCCATTTTTAAAGAGTTCTCTTCCATTTTCTTTCTTCTTCATTGACTTCTTACTTAGAGGACTGAAAATGAAAGGCTGGACTGTAAAGGCCATAATTTATTACATTGTAATTCCCCCTCACTATTTTTGTATCAGCCAAAAGTTTAGAGATGTTTTGTCCCCTCAAAGATTTTGTTAGTATTTAGGTTTGTACCCATACATCATTTTTCTTCCTCTGCTGTTATTCATTGTCATAGCAAATGAAAAATCTTAATGAACTACTGGAGATACTCTGAAACTTGGAATGGAATGCAAAGGCTTTGCCCTCTCCAGAGACAGCTGGAATCATGCAGAGCTTTATTGCACTTGGGAAATCAATTTTGATAACTGTCAGTTCATTTCTAAGACACTGAAGTACTTGGACTGGGAGGGCTGCTGCCTTAGATGCCTCTGCTGTGATAACAATGTTGTGATTGTGCTAGATTGCTGCCTAGAACTTTGCATACACTGACCTTTGTCCCCACAGTCTGCTGGAACTGCACATTTCTGGATATGTAGAAATAGCTATGTCCAGCTAATTTTGGTTGCACTATCACAACTTGTGCTCTTGGTAGCGTCAGCTCTGGTGACCTGAGTTGTCTGCAAAATTCAAGACTGTTGTTTCTTTTGTTTACTGGTCCGCCAGGTACATCCATTACGAGGAGAATACCTCCCATCTCATTTGTCCTACCAGTTTGTCTGCTGGCACTAACTCCTCTCATAGCATTCATGTGGAAAGTTCTAAGAAGAAAACCATTCACAAATTGCACCCCAAGAGGTAAATATTATCCATTTGGTTCTAACTTCTGGTGCTGTTTTGCAATCCAATTTTTGTTTGATATTTACAGGAAAATCATATCTTTTCAGAAGTAAGCCCCATTAATTTCTGTTGTGTTTACCTTGAGGTAAATGTAAAGGCTTGTAGCTGCAAAGTTTTGTGGCAGCTGTCTAATATTAACATCTTTATGGGGAAAATAGTTTACATAGTGCATGAAAGATAAGTTTAATTTGTATTTTCACTGATAGAACTAACATCCATTCTCTAGAATGGTATTTGTTTTATGCTGTATTTTTATTAAATGCTAGAAACTGTACCTATATCAGCTTCTACTCCAGAGAGACTCTGCTCAGGGCAATCGATGCAACAACTTAGTATTGGCTAATATAAATTTTATTGCTTGCACTTGCAATAAAAGTGATTTGATTGCAATCCCTGTATTGGGGTGGCTTCTCTGGAGAAGAAGTGCTATAGGACTTTTAGCAACAGTAGGGAAACAAGAAGAATGCAGTGCTATGGTTGTGTTGGTTTCGAGCTAGTGGTAGTCCTGCGTCACATGCAGAACACTGGGAAGGTCTTTTGTTTCTTTATTCACTTTGTCGGTGAGAATTCCGAAAACAAGCATCATGAAAGGCGCAAAAAGAAAGAAAAGTCCTACAATTCCCAGCATGCTGGGAATTATAGGGTTTTTTCTGTCTAACATACTTCAGATTGCTCCCTGAGAGTACAATTAACAACGGAGCTGTGTCATAAGTTAGTTAATATTGATTCAGTACAATGAAATTTGTAACGTGTGTTTTTAAAAGAAGTTTGCTTAAACTGACTTGTTCAGGTAAGTCTGCCTCCCCAGAAAGGTGACAGAGGCACTGCAAACATGCAAATATTGAAAGATGCCCTGCTTCTAGGCCAGACTGTCTCAACATCTGCTTGTGCTTCTTCTTAATATTCCTTTCCAGGCAAGAGAAGAAAAAGTCACCACTTATCAAAGAGTAGGTAATGCAATTTTAATATACTTTTTTGTTTAATATCCACACACACTCCTATTTCAGCAAATAAATAGCCAGAGCTCAGTGGCTGCATAAAGATGGTATCTAATTGCAGATAATCCTCATGCAGTAATCAGATCTCAGGAAGAAACCCTGTGGCTTTGGAAGTTCCCCTTTCCTCCAAAGAATCAAATGCCCAGTTATTTCCCTTCTGTGCCAGTGGGGGTTCCCCAGCTCTCGAGGACTAAGCTGACAGCCTGTTGCCTGCACAGGAGATCCCTCTGCACAGATGCCTGCTTAAGGGTGCTGTGATCCGCGCTGCTCCAAGAACAGGAGTGGGGAGCTTATGGCCCTCCGGATGTTGCTGGACTACAGCTGTCATCACTGACTATTGACCCTACTGCCCAGAGCTGATGGGAGCTGTAGTCCAACAACATCGGGAAGACATCAGGTTCCCCACCTCTTATTCCTGCACCATTTTAGAAGTCTGCACTGTTCATGAGAACAGAGGCAAATATCTAAGCAACAAAAATCTACTCTGTATCAGAATTATCGCGGGCTATGTTGATGTGATTTCTTTCTTTTTTTTAAGAATTATTCACTGAGGTATAGTGGATAGTCTACAGGAATGTGTACTTATTACATTTGTACTGTGCTGCTCCTCCAAAATAAGTCAGGGCAGCACAGATGGTTCCCCCGTGTCCATTTTAAGTCCCAGTTCTCTCCATTGTGCTTCGTGCAGCATCAAACTGGCCGGGCTGGAAGAAAGAATTCTGCACGTTACTTTGTCTAACCGCCTTTGCTGATTTGTGACTGCTGCAGGAGCTGAGTGTGATGCCAAGCTTGTTCTGATTTTGCATAAGGGCCACGTGCCCATGAATCAGACATGGTTTTCTAAGCAACATGGTGTGAGAGCATGAACACTCATGCACACAAATCAAATGGAAACTAAGCAGTATGCTTAGATTTGCGGTGTATTAACAGCAGGGCAGATTTGAGGATACTTAGGAAGGAATGAAGCCAAGTGGACCCTGGATCTCCTGACTGTCAGTCCCAGCACTCTAACCACTATACCACACTGTCTTCCCCCTTCTTGGGAGACAAGGCAGGAAGGGTGAGAGAAGGCCCACATTTTCCAATTAACTTTAGCAAGAAGATTAACCTTAGGGTTTGTAAACAAAGTTATCTCAAGAATAAGGTCAGGCACTCACAATTCCTTGTAGGTGGTGACCTCAGACCTTCTGCTGAGTATCTGTGACTACACTTGATGCCTGTGCTGGGCACTGGGAACACATCCCATGTAACTCCTCACCCCGCTTACTTATGTTATAGATCCCAATGCAGCACTTTTGAGTGGGAAAAATTCCCCAAATTCTATCCAGCCCCCATGTTATAAACAATCCTTCCAGCCCCTCACCACCAGCCCACATGGCTAGAGAGGACCCCCTGTGGTACATGTGTGAGTTAGCCCAGCTTACTATGGTGGTCTGAAGTCCCTGGTTGCTTGCCTGCTTGTTAGCTTGAAGAAGGCCTACTTCCAATTTCATTGCCACCGAACTTTGGAAAGCTTAGAAGCTACTTCTTCACCCGAACTGTCCTAATTATTCTTTGAGATGCGCACCATACTTGCTGTGGCTTATTGCGACTGAAATGTACAGCACTGCTTTTATTCAATGCTGTCATTCTGCTACTTATGCTACTCACTTCTGAGAGGAAAAGTGATAAGATTTAACAATGTTTGATTTAACAATCCTCTAAGGAGTGAAAATGGCTATATGCAAATTTGTGGTGAAGCATGTGAAATGCAACAGTCATTCCCACCTTTCTCACTGTTAAGCACTTGAAAGAGATCTTCTTGAATGCTTCCTGGTTTCCAGCCTGAGAAATACAGTTCTCCCTTTGGAAATTACCACCAGTCCTTTAATGTAAGAAACAGGGATTCTCCATGTGTTAATTCCAGTATTATGAAGTACATTTCATATCTGTCATATTAACAATGATTGTAAGCTGTGACCCTGAGGGTTTTGGCAGCATCATGTCACATATGCTCATTCCTATTAGTCTAAAGCGTCTTATCTTTCTGCTATTTCTCTTTGAAGGCAACTCAGATCTTCAGATGCAGTGACTGCTACATAGCAAAGTGCTTGAACAGAGATCCGAAACAGTTCATTTGTGCTGCTTGCAGTTTTGCACTTCTTCCCTTTTTAGAAAAGCATAGGGAAGTAACAACACTTCAGAGGTAAATGATGTGAAGCCTTCTGCTTTCTGGCAGTGCCACAACATGTTGTTCATGCAGTTCAGCACAGACTTCACAGAAAAAGTGTTGCTGCTCAGCATTTTGAGGGGTTACTCAAGTTCATTCCATGTGTTCAGTGACTGTGTGTCATTTCTAAGAAGTGCATGTACATACGTTTACAAGCACAACAATGTATGCAGTAAACAGCAGATGTTATAACAGTGAGGCGTGCTGGCTTGCTGCCTCACCTAGGGCCAGCCCTAACATTAGCAGGGCAGCTGCTCCAGTCCGTGGATGCTGTGAGGCCAGGATGGGACGCACCTGGCAGAAAAGTGTCTGAGGCCGGCTCTGATCGTGAGAAGAACGCCTGAAACTTGCTTCTGTTTTTACAAGCAGATGTGGTCTCATGTTGCAGCCACGACCTGCACAGCCAAAATTTCCCATTTCAAATATTGCTTGAACAAGTGGCTGGAGGCAAACCAGTAGCTGTCAGCTTCAGACGCACACACACCATTCCACAATATGGGATCAATCCATCATAGCCAGCTGCTGAAAAGAATGTGGACAAACAAAAAACTGAATCCTAGAAACTGTATGTACTGAAAGCTATATAAAGTGAAGCATTATTACTACTGCTGCAGCAGGGATGCTTGTATGTGAATCCCAGTTTACCTTCAAGATTTCTATTCAGCTAACGTACCAGTCCCAGGGGGCACCCAACTGCCACCGTGCCTGAGCATATGCTGGCTGTCACATGTACCCTGATCCTATGTTCACTCATTAATTGGAATGAGACTTGAAGCTGAACACTACAAGTCTTTGACTGTGTGATCAGCAGGCTCACATAATTCCCAGGACCCAAACCAGTGATGTTCTTCTGCACAAGGTTTAGAGACAAGCTGAGGGAGCAAGTCTGCCATGAAGGACTTTGTCCTTTTGAATTAACATTTGAGCAGTGGAAGAATTATATGGAGGTGATGCAAACAGTTGCCAGTGGGGATCCTTTTGACCCTATAAATTGTCCTGGCATACTGATAGGAAAGATCTGGTGGCCCATGGATTGGTAGTCCTTCAAAGACTACAAGCCCCAAAGCTGCCACACTTTCTTCCTGATCAGCTGCATGCAAGGCTGTCATGGGGTGGAAGGAACAGACCTCTAGATTCACCGCACTGCTACTGATGCTGAAACAGAAGCATTTCTTCTCCTTGCTGTTGTTCACACCACTGGCCAAACAACTAAGAGGAAAGAGGGAGGCACATTGGGGTGAGAGAGAGAATGGCAAGGTTCATGCTCTGGGGATGGGAGATCACATTCTGAGATTGAATTAGCTTGGAAACTGAGCTGAGGTGGTTTTTTTTCCTATTTATTTACAAAAACCCTAACACAGTCAGAACATTTATGAATCAATCCAAAGTCAGCAAGGGAAAGTTCATCCATCCCTAGCAGCATTTCTACATGAGGCATTTATCATGTGCTCATAATTTCTCTTTCGTGGTTAATGGGTCCCTCCTCCAGAGCCTCTCCTATTCTTTTGCAACAGCTTTATTATTTCCCTTCCAAGAAGCAAATTCTAGCATATTCCTGAATGGCACATGAACCCTATGTCTGTACAATAATTTGACAAAATGCCCCATGGTACCCTGATTAAGAAACTAATCAAAAGTGGGGTAGATGGAACAATGATCGGGTGACTCCACAGTTGGCTATAGAATGAGACTCAAAGAGTTCTTCTCAAACTGGAGAGAGGTAACAGTGGGGTACCACAAGGTTCAGTCCTGGTCCCAGTGCTTGGCAACATTTTTATTAAATATTTGGATGAGGAAGTACAGGAAACAATTATTAAATCTGCAAATGGCACAAAACTGGGTGGGATAGCTAATGCCCTTGAAGACAGAAATAAGATTCAGGGTGATCTTAATAGGTTGGAGAACTGGGATGAAAACAACAGAATGAATTCAGTAGGGAGAAATGGGAAGTTCTGCACCTAGGAAAAAGAAACCAAATGAATCATTACAAGATGGGAAATGCTTGGCTCAATGATACTGCAAGTGAGAAGGATCTTGGAATTGTAGATCACAAGCTGAATATGAGTCAACAATGTGATGTGGCTGCAAAAATGGCAAATGCTATTTTAGGCTGCATTAATAGAAGTATCACTTCTGAATCGTGAGAAGTACCAGTTCCTCCTTACTCAGCACTGGTTAGGCCTCATCTGGAGTACTGTGTCCAGTTCTGGGTACCGCAGTATAAGAAAGAGGTAGGCAAACTGGAAAGGGTTCAGAGAAGGACAACAAGGATGATCCTGGGACTGGAAACAAAGCCTGTGAGGAGAGACTGGAAGAACTGGGTGTGTTTAGCCTGGAGAAGACTGAGGGGAGATATGATAGCACTCTACAAATACTTGAAAGGCTGTCACAAAGAGGAAAAACAGGGTTCCTTTTTGATCATCCCAGAGTGCAGAAGATGGAGTAACAGGATCAAGTTAAGAGAAAGCCAGATATCCAGAACAATTTCCCAACTGTTCGACAATGGCAATAATGACCTAGGGAGGTTGTGGGCTCTCTCACACTGGAGGCAACTGGACAGCCCTCTGGGAGGAACAGTTGAACTGGAGTCCTGAAATGAGCAGGGGGCTGGACGCAATGGCCCTCAGGGCCCTTCCAACTTTACGATTCTATGATATAGAAAGGCGGGGGAACACTAATAGGGTGGTAAAAAGGGGCAATGGAACCAACCTTCATCACGTAAACAATCTGCAAGTAGAAGCCACAGTAGAGTGGAGAGTTAAAAGCCTTGTTTGGAAAAGTGAGTGCCATGTTCCTCTTGCAGCCCTTCCAGACTCAGTCATCTTCCAATTTCTTGGCTGCAGTCTCCTTTTAAATTGATGACTAAGCCAAGGTATGCAAACTCTTCAAACTCTTCTACAATTTTAGATACTTTATTGCAGACAGCAAAGGTGTGCAATTCTTCTGTAGACATGAGGATTGTTTTCTTAATTTTCAGCTGCAGCCTGCTTTTGTACTTTCTTTTTTTACTTTCATCAGGGGTCATTTCAGTTCATTGCTGCTTTCTGCCGGTAATACGGTATCATCAAAATATCTTAAATTATTGGTGCACTGTCTGCCAGTTTTCACTCCTTCTTCCTCTAATTCTAATCCATTTCCTTTTATGTTCTGCATATGGTTTGAACAGATGGGGAGATAACGCACACCTTTTTCTGATGCCCTTGCCTATAAGGAAGTCATTCTCTTCCTCCTTATTCTTGCAAACAGGACCTTCTTGTCCATGATACAGGTCATGCATCAGGATAATTCAGTGCTGAAGCACCCCCATTTCTTTTCGGACCATGCAGAGCTTCCTGTGATCCACACAGTCAAAAGCTTTGATGTTCGTCCATCATTTTCAATGAGGACCTTGACATCTAACGGGTTGTGAACTAAAAGCTTTGATGTTCGTCCATCATTTTCGATGAGGACCTTGACATCTAACGGGTTGTGAACTGTGTCCGCAAGTGGCTGATAAGGCCGATACGGGCACAGAGTGTTCTGCCACATGTCGGGCAGACATGTGTGGACACCACTGTTGCAACATTTGCAACTCTGGCTTTACAGAGTGCTCGCTTCTCTTGTGCTATGGTTGTCCTTCTGGCTTCAGATGTTTGGCAGCCTTGGTGGATCAGCATGCGCCATGTCGATCGGTCTTGTGCCAGGGTCTCCCAGGGTGGTGTTGATAACCAGGGACCTGAGAGAGGCTTTCAGCGTGTCTTTTTAATGCTTCTTTTGTCCCCCATGCGATCCTTGAGACAGCTCACCATAGAAGAGCTGTTTGGGGATGCGGTGGTCTGGCATCCTTGCAACATGGCCTTCCCAGCGTGTCTGGGCTTTCATCAGCAGTAAAAGCTTTACTGCAGTCTATAAAGCACAGATTGATTTTCTTCTGAAATTCTTTGGTGCATTCCAGTAGCCAGTGTATAGTTGTGATTTGCTCGTGAGTGCTTCTTCCTTTAAGAATAGGATTGTTTTAGGATTGTTTTAGGATGACATAGGATAAAATTCTTTGTTGCAATTCCTAGAGCATCACTTTGCTTGCAGAGAAAATAAGTGTGATCATCACTCCTTATCATCTCCTTTCTTGGGGAATGAAATGTTTCCAGTCTGTGGGCCATTATTTTGTTTTCCATAGTAGTTTGCAAATTCTTGTTAGATTCAGACAGTCTCTACAGATTGGCATAGTTCTATTGGAAACTTTCTACTCTGGGTGCTTTGTTCCTTCCAAGTGCTTTCAAAGCAGCTTTCACTTCAGTTTCTAATACTGGAGCTTCTTCCTCATAGGATTCCCCTTTGAAGGAGTCTTATCCATTTATCTCTTCCATATAGTTCTTCTGTAGATTGCTCCCATCATCTCATCATTTTATCGTGGTCAGATAGTATGTTCCCCTGTTGGTCTTTCCACATTCCTTTTTTCCTCTTTTGTTGTACTATTCTTTTGTGCTGGCCAGGGTGATAACTCCTTTTTCTCTACGTTATAGTTGCTGAAAAGTTGCGATTCTGATCGTATCTGCTGTCACCATTTGCTTCTTATCTGTCCTCAGCAATTGTGTTTTTTCTGTAATCCGTATAGCCTTTTCTTTCTTTTTGCTACATATTGTTTTGTCATTCTTCCCTAATGTATCTGGGTTTTTTTTGGTTGATTTTAGTAACACAAAACCATTCTTTATGTGGATTTTAAATTCCTCAGAAATATTATTTAAGTTGTATTTTGGCACTATGCTTTTGCTAGTGACCTTTTTTTTTTTTTTTGCTTTACTCTGATTTATGATGTTAATAGTTCACAGTAACTACCAGAATCTGTTTCAGGTCTTGTTTTGACAGTGAGAATATACACCTTCATCTTTTACTTCCAGTTACATAGTCTATTTGATATCTATATTGGCCATCTGGTGATGTCTGTGTATTCACTCATCTCTTCAATTGCCTGAAGAATGTATTTGCAATAAACAGATGGTTGGCTCCATAGAATTTTGTAGGTCTGCTTTGTTTTTGACCCCTAGGCCAAGTTCTCCCACAACATTTGATTCAGCTTTGTTTTCTGCCTTTGTGCTCCAGTCACCTACAATTATCTGCATCTCTTGTTTCAGTATGTTACCAATTCCCTTTTGGATGCCTGCATAAAAGTTTTCAATTTCTTTTTCAGCATCTGTTGTTATTTTGAGTTACTCCATTTCTTGAGTTTCTCCTTTCTAAGGTAAAACATTCTGTGTTTGTCTGACTGAAACTGTCCTATTCCATTCCCCTTTGGTTCACTCACACCAGTACTGTGATGTTTGAGCACACCATGTCTCACTTTGTGGGTTCCAGTTTGCCCTGATTCCTACATCTCATGTTTCATGTTTCAGCTGCATGTGTTGTGCAGCAGTAGGTTTTCCTTTCACCCCTGTGCATAGCAGCCACTAGACTTCTTTTTGGCTTTGATCTGGTTGTATCAATAGCAGTCACATTACTTGCATTTGTCCTTTGCTCTTCCCCAGTAGTTGTCTGAGTGCCTTCTGCCCTGAGACTCTCATCCTCTGGCACTATCACTTGTTTCATTTTGGACCTTTTCATCCAACGTTTTCAAGGTAAGAAGCATGAA